CAGTCCGTGCACCGAGGCAGCCCGGCCCCGGGGATGGCGGCGAGTCACTGTCAACGCCACCGTGTCCGGCGTGACGGGGGCAGTGAAACCTCCCCTGGTGCGAGGACATGTCCAACCGCAGGGCACACCGACGAAAGGCTGAAATTCTGCAGCCCTGACCGCAACTTGGGTGTAACTTTAATCCATGCGCGCGCGGTGGCTGTTGTGGGGTGGTTGGCAGCTGTCATTTTTTAACTGGACAGGCCGAGGGGACAGCGGTCAGCGCCCCGACCGGGAGCGAAGGGATGCCGGTGTACACATTCCTGCGCGCCCGGGGCGGACGCTGCCCACACGCGGGAAACAGGAGGAACCGCCGGGGGGTGGTGACAATCGAGGGAGTGGACAGGCCGCTCACACAGTAAGAAACGTACAGATGCCCCAGGGACTACCGATGCGGACTCGGCAAGATACAGAAGTGAGAGTAAAGTGAGAAATAAACCTACCTCCACGGAGATAAGTAAGCGGTACATACAAACCAGCAGACGAGTGGGCGGTAGGTGCCAGGTGCGCCCTTGCAGGTCGTTAGGTACATGTATTCGTGTGCTTTCTTTCCATCCTCTCACGACGCCTTTCTTCCGCTGAGCTTCAACCCGTTCCTTATGCTGAGAAGGAATGGATTTCTTTCTCATCCCGTTTTCCTCTTTCTAAACTAGGTTCTTCCTCTGGCTTTAAAGAAGGCCCAAATTTCTCCCATTAAAACGAAACAAAACCACCCCGACTGCCCAGTTCCTATCCTCTCTGGGGGAGATGTGTAATAAACAACTGAATGAATGGATGGATGGATGGATGTGCAAAGTCCTAAAACACGCCAACAAAATGTTAATTTTCTTTTTTTAATGTATCTGGTTTTGTGTGTGTGTGTGTGTGTGTGTGTGTTTTCTTTTTATACAATGAGAATGTGTAAAAAAACATTTTTTTAAAAAATCAGGTTTAAAAATTGTAAAATGTAGGGGGCACCAAATAAATGCTAGTGACTTTCCTTTTCCTGCCATCGTCCCTACCCTCAATTCATCCACACATATGTTTACTTTAGTTTTCCTTTATGGTTACTTCTACTTAAAATGTTAAAAATTGCCCAGCAGTGTGGCTCAGTGGTTGAGCAACCTATGAACCAGGAGGTCCCAGTTCCATTCCCTGTCAAATGGGGCACATGCCCAGGGCACACAGTCCCCAGTAGGGGGCTTGAGGCAGGCAGCCGATCAGTGATTCTCATCATTGCTGTTTCTATCTCTCCCTCTCCCTTCCTCTCTGAAATCAATGAAAATGTTTTCTAAAAAATATATTTTACAGTATTTCTTTAGGAATTAAAAAATATGAATCACAGTATCCTTTCATGCCAGGCTTATGACTAATTTTCCACAACAGCATAAGGCAATGAAAACAGTAAGAATGTCAACATTTGCACAGCTGTCAAGTTTAGCTGACTTTTTAAAAAATTGGGCTTTTCTTAGCTTTGAATAACTCGATGTTTCTTTCGTTTAAATATGTTTTTATTGATTTTAGAGAGAAAGAGGAAGGGAGATGGAGAGAACATCGGTTAGAGAAACATGGATTGGTTGCCTCCTGCACACCCTTGCATAACCAATTAGGAACAAAACCAGAAACAGAGTCCTTGATAGAGTAATGGGTGTGAGTGAAAAGGGGCCGCATGCTAACCTGACAGCTCAGGTGAGCCTAGGTGGCGGCCTTGCAAACTCAAAGACCTAAAGTAACCACAAAGGAGGGTCTGAAATCAAAACTTTTTAAACAAAAAAAGCAGTTTATGGTGGGTAATCATGTCCTAGGCTGGTATCTTCCCTGACAAAGGTCACTCTACCTTAACTAAGCCTGGCTGTTGTCTTTTTGCATCTAAGATAACATATTGTTGGAATGTCAAAGTAATTTCCCTTCTTCCAGACCCCTGAAAGCACAGTCACCACAAGTCTCTTCATTATTACTGAGTTAATTGTTGACTGTTAACTGTCCCGCACCCACCTAAGTCAAAGAAGTATGCATCTCTCATTTTCCTTTGTATCCAACCCCAGATGTTTCCTCACATTGCTTCTTCCCACCTCCCTAATCCATCACCAGTGCATTTCATGTAATCCATTTCTGTCTCCTCTTTCGATTGTAATGTATAAAACACGGTGCAAACCTACCATTCTCAGGAGCCTCATCTCCATCCGTTGAGATGACAGTTTGGCTCAAATAAACTCACAAAAATGTGTCACGGGCTTAAATGTTTCTTACATTAACATGGGTTTCATTAACACAGCTCATTTGAGTAAGCAAACACCATGTTCTACAACAAGCATATTTCCTAGATTAAGTAAATGTTAGAATTTTTGCAGGCCTCATGGTTGAAGTCTACAGTTACAGAATTTATTTTCTGTGGTGTTAAATGCTTTTTCAATAATAACTTTGTATGGAATAGTTCAGGAAGGATCTATAACTATCCCAGGAAGGTCCTTGCTAGTTCTTAGTAAGCATAATAAAAAACAGAGACTGTACAAATGTAAATTTAAATAAGGCCTTTTATTCTCCATTTGTCTTTCTTTGTTAGGTGCTTTGTTCCTTTAGTTTCTGAAGTCACCAGGAAACAAATATTCTCCAACCCTCTCTTCCTTGTTCAACTGAGTAGAATAAATGACTAGCCTGGTACTTGGGAAATTATGTATTTGAAAGAAGATGCTTTTTTTTTTCTCCCAAGTCTTTACTACAAAATACCATCATGAGATATGTATGTATTTTTTAGGTAAAGCACACTCAAATATTTTTAAATTTATAAAATCTCCACAATAATGTATAAATGGAAATTGCATGAACATGAACAAAATTTCCTGGAGTATGTACTTGTTTTAACTAAAACGTATCTGGTACTTAAGATGTGCCAGCCATACACTGTTCCCAGTTAAGTACTTTACAAATATGAACTAGTCATTATTACCGTCCTCACATAGTCCAATGGGTAAGAATGCTACCCCCATTTTAGAGATGAGGATAATCAACTTGCCCAAAGTCGCATAAATAGTACAGTAGAACCAGGCACCTTGGCGCCCAAGTCCAGGTCACTAACTACTACATTGTAGATCTCATTTTCTCAATCATATTGGACCCTTTGGCCCCTTTGAGAAATATTTTATAACACCACCCTTACTATCCCCAAATGGTAAACGTAGGTAATATATACTACCTAACACATAATTTCAAAATACATATAATAATGACTTATCGCTGATATAAAAAGAGGGATAAGATAAAAGTAAGTATAAAAAAATAAAATGCCGCCCTAGCTGGGTTGGCTCAGTGGATAGAGCATTGGCCTGTGGACTGGAGGGTCCCAGGTTCGATTCCAGTCAAGGGCAAATGCTCTGGTTATGGGCTCAATCCCCAGTAGGGGGCGTGCAGGAGGCAGCCAATCAATGATTCTCTCTCATCATTGATGTTTCTATCTCTCTCTCCCTCTTTCTTCCTCTCTGAAATCAATAAAAAATATATTAAATAAATAAATAAAATGCCTTTCGCTAAGCACATGCGTGGGCTGTTCTGCACTGGAAGCCTGGGTAAGGCAGGCAGACGCTGGCCCTTGGGTGGAATCCCCACCACAGATGCAGATCGACGCACAGGGATGCATTGGTTATTCACAGACCAAGGTTAGTTGATGACGGAGGCGTAATTTTTCTGGAATATAGAACAAGGCCCAGTCAATTTCTTAACCATTAGGGAACAATTCTTCCTCCATTTATGTGCTAATTGCATTACTGGACATTTCAGGGTATATTACAACTGCAAAAGTAAGGCATTCGGCCCTCAGACAATTAATTGTAAGCACACCTTTCACCTATGTGAACGGTCAGTGACAGGGGCAATTCTCCGTTCTGTGGGAGTATCCTTGTCCTGCTCCCACAGCTCCTTGCATTGAATCTTAATA